CAACAAAAATTGAAAAAGCAGGGGTGGAAGGGGTTGAAAAGCAGGGCAACATTTCAGAAAAAACATGTGGCTGGGTTGTTTGCATCTCCCCTGTTTTGAAGTCGAAATTATTTTATCTTCTCTATGAGTGCTTTTCCTGGAGATAATGCATTGGTCTAATATATGCACCTGTTTAAATCCTCAGAGAATAGCCAAAAACCAACATATGACTTTCTATTGCGATACTTTCCCTCCTCCTTTTGGAATCAGTAGATATTAAGCTATTTATTTACTTGCAAAAGGCTCAATGCTAATAGCATAATACAATATTTTGGTGAATTCAGATGTAATGATTTAAACCCCAAAATTGCATTTTTAGTATATTTTTATTTGTACTTCTCTACATTTCCGGCATATTAGACAAAACTCACACAAGTCTGTTAGCCATGATTTTAATCTTGATTCTTAAAATACAAGTTAATGGTCAGTTCAGTGTTCAGAAAGTTGGAATTCCTGTCATTTAGCACTGTCAGCATTTATGATTTTGGTTGGTTCACTTTCTTTTCTTATGTATATATTATGTTTGAAGTTCTTCAATATTATTCCATGACATTGCATCACAATGAATCAACTCACCTGTCAGCCTGACAAGTCAACTCACCTGTCAGTCTGACAAGTCAACTCAGCTTTCATCCTGACAAGTCAACTCATCTGTCAGCCTGACAAGTCAACTCAGTTTTCATCCTGACAAGTCATCTCATCTGTCAGCCTGACAAGTCAACTCAGCTTTCATCCTGACAAGTCAACTCACCTGTCAGTCTGACAAGTCAACTCAGCTTTCATCCTGACAAGTCAACTCACCTGTCAGTCTGACAAGTCAACTCAGCTTTCATCCTGACAAGTCAACTCATCTGTCGGCCTGACAAGTCAACTCAGCTTTCATCCTGACAAGTCAACTCATCTGTCAGCCTGACAAGTCAACTCAGCTTTCATCCTGACAAGTCAACTCATCTGTCAGCCTGACAAGTCAACTCAGCTTTCATCCTGACAAGTCAACTCACCTGTCAGTCTGACAAGTCAACTCACTTTAACATTATTAGACTATGAGGGAACAAAACCAGGGTAAAAGACCTGCTTCAGGAGGTATGCAGATCAAATGTACTCAGCCATGTTTCATGAAATTCAAAATGTCCTCCCAAATGCAAGAACAGGTGAAATGTGGCGTAGAGATTATTTCAAATATATCTTGTTTATTTCATTCTCCCTATTTCTTTCATAAATATTCAAAATGGATATTGTAAATATAGCCCATAACCCAATATATATTAGACTACTCTTAAAGTTTATTAGGATTTTACAGATGCTTGCCAGCTAAAACAGTTATTTTATTAGTAGTATAATGCATATAATTGCTGCTGGTCACCGTTTTCCAAGATATATATTAATTTTACTTCTTGTCTACAAAATTGTTGCATTTTGATTTGAATTATCATTCTTCTATGACAGATGACTTGATTAACAGCATTTCAACACCTGTGTGTTGATTACCTTGTATATTTTGCCATTTCCCTTGATTGGATTGCTTGATTCATTTGCAATGTCACACCTGGTTCACCTGGTTCACCTGGCTCACCTGACTCACCTGACTCATCTGACTCATCTGACCATCTCTGTTTGATGAACAACTAAAAGCAAATCTCAAATGATTCCTTTTCCTTCAAATCTTTAGTTGTTCATCAGTAATTGAAATTGAATTCAAATTCTATACAAATTAAACTTTCACCACAAATGCATGATGGTTTACTTATTCAAATAAGATGAAAATAAAATGCAATTCTTGCTTATGTGGATCAATCAAATCCATTAGTCGATATATTTTAGATGAGAAAAGGTCATTGTGGAATAGTCAAATGCAAATCTGACTTGCAATATACTAGCACTTTTAATGAGTTGAATACCCAAAGGAGGGAAATGATGAGATAAGATGGGATGTCTGTCAGGAATAATGATTCAAAACTGAATAATATTGTTAGGGGGAAGCCTGCATATAATAATTTGGAGAACAATTAGCATTACTAATAGATTTTAATTGTAATGTCATCTTAAGCCTGGGATTACAGTTTATTTGCAGCATCATTTGTGATCTCTGATTGACTTTATTGAGTGAATTAATCAGTTAATAAGGGCATTGAATTGCTTTTTTTACTTTGTCATTGACTTTGCCTTTGTCACTGTCAGGCTTGATTTGATCAAATCAAACAGTTCACTTTGTGGGCCATAATGTCAGCTATAGAAGCCATCATAGATTAATCCAGATATAGGAGGTTTTGCTTTGTCTTACAGATAGTATTGTTCAATTCCTCATTTAGATTACATTGATCAACGACTGAATATACAATGTATTTCCTTTATTTCATCCTCCACTAAATTTCTGTAATAATTGTCTTAATTGGTCTATATATTATAGTACATATTTCCTGCCAAAATTGCCAGTGATCTTTTTGGGGAAATACCCATACCCAAATCTACAGCTGAAATGACTAATTTGTCAATACTTACATTTACAGCTGAAATTGCTTGTATTTTTACCCATACCGACATTTACAGCTGAAAGGACTGTATTTTGTCCATACCTACATTTACAACTGAAATTGCTTGTAGTTTTTCTATACCCACATCACCAGCTGAAATTGTCTGTAATTTGTCAATACCCACATCTACAGCTGGAATTGAGTGTAATTTGTCCATACCTACATTTACAGCTAAAATTGAGTGTAATTTGTCCATACCCACATCTACAGCTGAAATTGACTGTAATTTGACATACCTACATTTTTAGCTAAAATTGCCTGTAATTTGACCATACCTACATTTACAGCTGAAATTGAGTGTAATTTGACCATACCTACATTTACAGCTGACATCGCCTGTAATCTGACCATACCTACATTTACAGCTGAAATTGAGTGTAATTTGACCATACCTACAGCTGATATTGAGTGTAATTTTACCATACCTACATTTACAACTGAAATTGAGTGTAATTTGACCATACCTACAGCTACAGCTGAAATTGAGTGTAATTTGACCATACCTACATTTACAGCTGAAATTGCTTGTAATTTGTCCATACCTACAGCTACAGCCTGTAGTTAATTGGTCAGAGTACCTTTTCCAGTTGAATAAGAATGTCAGTGTTACCTCTGTTAACCTATCCAGATTCAATTATTCTCAAAGCAATTGATTAAACAATAGCATGGCATTATACACAATTGGCATTTAGTCAGGAGTGATTAAAGAGTGATTAGTTGAAGAATATGACATTTTGTCTTCATCAATTCCTGGTTATATATTTGCAGAGGCAATAAATAGTTAATGATTGAAGTAGAATAGGTAACACTTAGAACAGACAATTTCTATCATTGAAGTAGAAAGTAAAAGTGTCACAAAAGGGTTGCAGAATGTTCCTGAAATCCTTTTCATTGCTGTAGGTCTTAATATAGAGTACAATGTAGATACAAAATTAAGAGAAATATAATTAACATGTGGGCGAATATAACACTACATTGAAATAAAACATATAGGAATAATACAATACAAATGTGAACATAGATAAGAGTTCACGTTTAGAGGTAATTCAAAAAACATCTTTTAAGAACTGTCATATTTGGTTTCCTTTCACTGGTTTGCCTTGACCAATCAGGAGCATTGTTATAACGGGTATGTTAAACCAATCAGTAATTTTGTCTCAATAGTTTAGGAGATGTGATTTGAAAATATATTGTCTCATGTTAAAGTTGAAATGTGTTATTGCATAATTTTACAAATGATTGTCTTATTCAATGATTGTCTAAATCATGATACTTTTCATATAATGTAATTATGGTATCATAGGATTTGGATGATCTTTTACAAGAAGAGAAATATTATTTATTTGCATTGAAGGATACCAACATACATCATTAATCCATATTCACGGAGATAACATGTATCTCTACTACTTCATGCATTTTAATAGTTTTTGATAAAGCATTTTATGTTATATTTTTTGCTGGTTAACTTACATTATGTTCATTGATAAGTACTAATTTATAGCATAGAAATATAGATCTGAAAAAGTTATGTTAATTGCATAATAATTTAAAATAGCTCCCTATCTCTAAAATAAACTGTTTATAGTATTTCACACAACTGGTCATGCTGGTTTCTCCAGATGTCATGTTTAATCCCAACATGAAGTGCTACAAATGTACTTAATTTTACATCTAACAGAGTTCCACTGATGTTGTACAATTTATTCTTTTTAACTGGAGAAAAGAGCAGAGTCAGTTAGTTATATTGTATGTGGGCAAGTACAGTACGTACCTGCTCTGAGTGATGTTCATGTGGCTGCAACCCATCCTGCTGGAGAAGACAATACACCCAACAGGCAATATAGAACAAGCCAACACAGAAATTTCATACATCTAAACTGGAATATGGTCCATCACTTTGATTACTTATTCATGTTGCCTGGCTCTATCTAACTGTAATCGGTTCTGGAACATGGATATTGATTTAACTAGATTGTATTTTTCTGTTGAATGCTGTGTTATTCTGAGCTATGAATGATATGGAAGGACAAAAGTGAGCGTCCAAAGATTTGGATTAAGTAATTAGAGTTAATGGGGATTAATATGATTATCAATGACTTAATAACTAAATAAGTTAAGATAGCAGATTGCTAACACTCTAATTGATTTAATGAAAAGTAAAAAAAACAGTTTGGATTCATGAAAATAGGATTTTTATATTTACCAAGAAGACATTAAAACATTGTCTATTACATTGACATACATTTAGGATAATATAATGCTGACTTAAATAAAGACGAACATGACGTCTGAATGAAAATGGATATTGGAAGTCAGAAAATGTATTAAAAATGATGATACGTACTGTTCAATTAGAAAATGTTAAAATGGCAATGAACTCAAACAGTTTTCTATTGGTAACTGTCTTGTTGTTGTTTGTCTTCGTAGATGTGTCTCAGCCACTTGAGGGTGATGGAGCCGACTACCCCTACACTGCCATCAAAGGTAAGTTGATCATTTTCTAATACAATACATAACACCTTTTCAATATAGATCTTTTTGGAATACTATTGTATCTCTGAGGAAGAGAATATAATTCACAAGTCTTCCAATAAGTTTTCTTGCACATTGTTTTTCCAATCCCGAAAAGTTAATATAAAGCTAATTGTTGCAAAATTGATTTTCAGTAAATGGATGGCACAATCGATGAGTGTTGAAAAGTCTATGACTAAATCAGATTCTGATTGGTGTTGTGTGCTTGCCCATATTTGCTTGAGACACTTCAATGTGGCATAATAATTGCATTTGTTTCATTTATATTACCACTTTTTTGAAAATATGCACTTAACAATTTTAACAAAATAAAGCACTCCAACATTCATATTTTTTTTAAGTTCAATATCGGTCAAAAATGTTATTCCTTAAAATCCCCAAATGCTTTAAAGATATTAATCATATTTCATAGTGTGTTCAACCTAGTAAGAAACAGTGAAAATTGAGTCAGAATTTTAGGCTTTTGTAGTACTATGGGTAATTTTTTTTCTTGTGATGATATAAAGTACCATTTTATTTTAAGCTCTCGTGGAAATTTTGTTGTAGTTACATAGGCAAATAACATCGGATCTCGTACAAGCTCATACGAGCCTTGAGAATTATCTTTGTAGAGCACACTATATATGTTCATCCAATTCAGATTGCTTTTATTATCTACACATATACAATCTAATAATAACATTTACATCACATTTCAACTTATTCCAATGCTGCACGCAAATGTTTTTATATGCATTTACTTCACTTATAGAGAAATATGGTGTCTTCCATTGGTAACTCTGTTTATTTTGTTTCCTAGCTTTTATTCTGTTTATTATGTTGATACAGACATGCGAATATTTTGAAATCATTGAAGACATATTAATTCATAATTCAATATAATTAAAATGTTAAATCTCAAGTATGCTGTATTTTATTACAACCAATTAAGAGACTCGTAGCGATTCCCGTACAAGGTTGTACAGGGCTCGTTGACTCAACAAGCTCCGTACGGACTTGTACGGGGTCCAATGTTATTTGCCTGTGTGTTGGCCTAAAAAGTAAATAGAGGTTATTTAATGGGAGGTTTTTGATACAGGGTATATCTGAGGGAAATGCAGATTTACCGAGGGATATACCCTGTATCAAAAATCGAGCATTCAATAACTGATTTATCCTATACTTAGTAGATTATGAGAATGTAGTAATTACAAACGATAATTACAATCAAAACAGGAATATTTTATCTCAATTTAAAGTCCTCAACAGCTTTTAACATTTAACAGTGTATGAAATTAATATTTATCAAATAGAGCCAAAGTATATCCCGGGAATTCAAAAAAGCACCGAAAGAAATTCCCGGGGATTGCTGATGAGTGGGTGATATATATATCTCCCACTCACCTCAGATATCGATTATATTCCCGCATGTTATTTACCTATAACAATACTAAGTATGCGATAAAAGGTGATATTTCCTAAATAAGATAAGTGGCCATTGTGAATTAATAGTTCTTGTGATTCAGGTTTAAATCAATAGCTATAATGTGTATCAAAAATGTGTATTTAATGAATCAGGTTGTCTATTAAATGTATGAGAAATATAGAATATATCATTATGTATCAGTACATCCAGTCATCAACATCTCATCTTTTATCTAATAATATACATTTATTCGTCCAGGTGTTTGAATCATTGACTTGAGTAAAAAAGCCACATTTGAGAGAACAAAAATGTTTCAAGGTTCAATCCATATCCAGTAATAACTGGCAAGTTAGAGATGCAGTAGTAAAGCCATGTGAGATCCAATATACTTCATATCTTTGAAGGAGTCAGATTAGTAACTATTTATGTTAGAAAATTGACAGCTCATTTTTGATAAGAAAAATGTAGAGTTCTTTTATATTTTATTGATTAAAGTGGCACTGCAGAAATTAAATGTCCAGTAAAACATGTGTAAGTGAACACCTCTGTAGTATGAATACCCGTCTCAGAATCTCATGAATATGGGAAACACTTCTCTATTGTAAACACCTCTCTACTGTGAACACCTATGCAGTATGAATCCCTGTCTAATCACACTAGCACCTCTACATTGTACCTGTGAGCACAACAGTACCATGAACACCTCTCTCCTGTGAGCATATCAGTATCATGAACACCTTTCCCCTGTGAACACATCAGTACCATGAGCACCTCTCTCCTATGAACACATCAGTACCATGAACACCTTTCTCCTGTGAATACATTAGTACCATGAACACCTCTCTCCCTATGAACACATCAGTACCATGAACACCTCTCCTGTGAAGACAGCAGTACTATGATAACCTCTCTCCTGTGAACACATCAGTACCATGAACACCTTTCTCTTATGAACACATCACTACCATGAACACCTCTCTCCTGTGAACACATCAGTACCATGAACACCTCTCTCCTGTGAACACATCAATACCATGAACACTTCTCTCCTGTGAACACATCAGTACCATGAACACCTTTCTCCTGTGAATACATCAGTACCATGAACACTTCTCTCCTGTGAACACATCCATACCATGAACACCTTTCTCTTATGAACACATCACTACCATGAACACCTCTCTCCTGTGAACATGTCAGTACCATGAACACCTCTCTCCTGTGAACATATCAGTACCATGAACACCTCTCTCCTGTGAACATATCAGTACCATGAACACCTCTCTCCTGTGAACATATCAGTACCATGAACACCTCTCTCCTGTGAACATGTCAGTACCATGAACACCTCTCTCCTGTGAACATATCAGTACCATGAACACCTCTCTCCTGTGAACACATCAATACCATGAACACTTCTCTCCTGTGAACACATCAGTACCATGAACACCTTTCTCCTGTGAATACATCAGTACCATGAACACTTCTCTCCTGTGAACACATCCATACCATGAACACCTTTCTCTTATGAACACATCACTACCATGAACACCTCTCTCCTGTGAACATGTCAGTACCATGAACACCTCTCTCCTGTGAACACATTAGTACCATGAACACCTCTCTCCTGTGAACATATCAGTACCATGAACACAGCGTATTTTCGTTATTTCTAAGAAATAATAATAACATAGCCTATATGTGACGTCATTTTCAATTAGGAAAGAATAGAATGAAGTTGTATGATGTTATTTCGTTACCATAGACAACGTGTGGTACGTGTGCTCGTATCATGAAATTTATGTGATACGGGAAATATGTCATAGAAAGCAACCAATTAAATTACTAGATTTCTACATAGTATCCCAGCCTATTGCCAGGTATAGTCAGTCTATACCAAAAGTATACTAAAAGTATACCTTGTTGATAGGTCTATACTGATACCAGACTGATACCATACCAATTAATAGGTATATATACTGAATATAGATCTGTAAATAGGTATGAAGATACTGAATATACTGAAAGTATACCTGTTTTACTTATGATTTTCAATAGTATACTGAAAGCATACCAAACAAACTCTGATAAATACTAAATATACTGAAAGCATACCAGTTTTACTTATGATTTTCAATAGTATACTGAAAGCATACCAAATAAACTCTGATAAATAATGATTAGATTGAACATATACCAGTTTTACTTTATCATTTTATAATATAAACGGCAAATGCAAAATTCATGATAAAACTATAAGTCAACAATTATTCATATGTAAGTTCTATTTTATGACCATTTGTTTCCACAACCTGTCCTACCAGACTAGGTGGCAGGGGAGCATCCCTGCTCAGAATTACATTGAATGTTTTATACATTGAAAACACAAAAAATGAGAGAAAGATATGAAAGATACAGTCATAGTAAAATTTAAAAAAGAAATACAGTTAAAATTTGAAAATTAAAACTTTGCATCAAAAATACATCATGAATAAAACTTGAATATAGTTAATATAAGAATATTAATTTATTTGTGGTATGTCTTTTAGAAGTCTTCATAATCCTGCATCTAAAAAATTAGATAATGTAATGCTAGAAAATAAGACTGCTATCCAAATTACATGTACTAATTTTTCTCATCTGCAGAATGATTTAAAATTCAAGGTATCTCATTGTAAGAGTCATACTCATCTATATCAGTCTACAGACTGACATGTTAAGACTGTCAGTATAGACTAAATGTTCACCTATAGGTATATACTGATACCATACTGAAAGTATACCCATATGTATATACTAAATGTATACCCCTTGGTATATACTGAAATTATACTGAAACCATACTGGTATGTATATACTGAAAGTATACTGAATGTATACCCATTGGTTTATACTGAAAGTATACTGAAACCATACTGGTAGGTCTAATTACCATAATTGAAACATACCTGTCAATTGAATTTTAACATGGGACATATACTGAAAGTATACTGAAACTAGACTAAAAGTTGACCTGTCAGTATAGACTGAAAGTATACCTGTCAGTATATACTGACCATACCTGGCAATGGGCTGGGATGTGATAATAGTATGTATTGCACAGTGATTTGGTGGTTATGCAGCAGGGGTTTCCTTATATGGGCAGAGGGTTTGCAAGGATGTATTCTAGCACATTGATTGGAAGTTATAATGAAACAAATGGTTAGACAAAGGTTACACAATATTCTGACTCAGCAATGACGTAGGGATACTTTGCCTTCTGCACTAATATGACTTGAGATTTGTTAAACTTAATCACAAATGGCAACATATAAAATGAATGATAATCCAGCAACTTAATTATAAAAGCATGTGACATTAGGTAACATTAGGTAATATTATTAGTTAACTAAGGCAACAATCAGTACCACGAACACCTCTCTCCTGTGAACAAATCAGTATCATGAACACCTCTCGCCTGTTAACAAATTAGTACCATGAACACCTCTTTCCTGTGAACAAATCAGTATCATGAACACCTCTCGCCTGTTAAAAAATCAGTACCATG